CTCCTCACTCTCCAATTCATTGACCTTGACGTACTTAGAGATGGTTAGTTGACCTTTATTGCTGGATGAAAAGCAACCTTGATATTCTCTTGATATAACCTCATAAGCTAGCTATCACCCACACTAATCATGAAAGTGGCTTAAGTTTATTACCGGAAACTTTTCCTCTTTCATAGTTTTGTTGACCTTAAAAATAGAATACTAGATAACTAATAGAATTGTGACACCAATAGTGCCTCTTTAACTTACCTGATAGCTAGCTGCGCTTACGTCGGTGATGATAGCATTAAATAGTTGCATGGTGCCCGTAGATCAATATATAATGGGGAAGGCCAAACACATCTATCTGAAAATGCAGATAGAGCAGCAGATCAAAATCTGAAAGCAGGTAGGAGGAAGAAGCTAATCAATCAGAATTGAGACAAGGAGGTGAGACAATATTGCCGAAAAGAGAAATTTACTGTAATTGAGTCCAGGCAATCTGCAGCTGATATAGCAATATTTAGTGTTCCTAGTTAGCCCTTTGATTGAGAATCAAATTCAGACTATAACTTTTAGGTATACAGAATCATCATCAACAACAACAACAATAGTAATAACAATAATGATGATGAGATGGTGATGTAAGTTCCATTGGGCGCAAAAAATACTAGGTGATTTCTTCCCATCCGTTGAAACCTTAGTGGGCAGAGTTACCCGGTACCTGTGTTGGTAGAAGGTAGCAGGTACCCGGTGGAATTGGAAGAGGTGCACGCAAGCTGATGTCGACATCACCGTTATCAAAAGAAACAAAAAAAGATGGTGATGTAAGTTCCTGTCTCTTCAAATTTCTGTTTACAACATACATCCTTTTGACATTATCAGCATATTTGCAGGCAAGTAGTCATCTCTTAGTGCCTAAGATCGTCAATTTTAACTTTAGGGATTACGAAATGGTTTTTCAGGTTTCTGATGAATGGTGGTTCGAACCAGGACATGGCGATTGGTGCACTTGCCTGGAAAAGTATACACTTTGTCAAGATGGTATGTACCACAAGGTATGAAGTACCATGGCTTGAAAGTTTAATTTTAAGAATGCAAAGGTAAATCATGATATTATGTTTCCTTTGATACTTCCCAAATATGTTCTTATTCTAGGATCAGCATAATTCACAAGTCAACTTATTAGTCCCGTGTGTAGTCAAGTTGTGTTACATAAAAGGGATGTATGGAGTAGTTGCGATTTGCGAATGAACAGTTACCATGTCTCTTTATTCTGTTGGGATCTTGTAACAACTATTATTTTGTTGATGCAGCAAGACCAGTTCCAGCGCATGTTGCCGACTTTCATCCAAATCATTGAATTGACAGAGGAGGAAGAAAATCTTTATTGGGCTATCATGTCTGCCGTCTTTGAGGGGAAACCTGTTGCTTCTGTTACATCTAACCCAAGTTTTCAGAATAACCCTGGCTATAGCTCTGCTAATTCAACACTAATGGATTCTGGCATCAACAATAAGGTACTGACTGCTAGTACATACCTGAAGTTCACAATAGCAGTATGATGAACTTCTTGCCATTGTTATGCTCTTATCTAATACTTGGGAGAAGCAGTAATGTCGTCAGTGATGATGAATGAAGTTAGCCATTAAACCATGTAAATGGACATTGGGTGTCTTTGTCTGATCAATGTCCATCCAATATATGGGAAGAGACTAACAAAAGGGAATCAGTAGTTATCCACAAGTATTTATTCCTGGCAGTGATCAGTGATCATAGCTGAGGGTCTATCGGAAACAGCCTCTCTGCCCTTCCAAGGTAGGGGTAAGTCTGCGTACATCTTACCCTCCCCAGTCCCCATTCGTGGGAACTCACTGGGTTATTGTTGTTGTTGTTGTTGCAGTGATCAGTGATCACAACACCAAAAGTATGGCATGTATGGGAATTTCACTTGCTTTCCTGTGGTTTGACATAAGCTATCACTTTGATAATAGATGTTGTCACAAGATAGTGTTTTGCTTCATGGTCAGCGACCATGGTATGGTGGTTGGGTATTTGGAAATAAAAAAGAGGGAAAAGTTAGAGGACGGTTCGATTCATTAAAGTAGTAGACTAATTCGACCAATGAAACTTTAGCTGCTTTGTGAGGTGACAAGATTGTAGAACATGATTTTTTTTTTTAAAAGCAAAGAACAGATAGATTGTAGAACATGATACAGTGACATGATAAGAAAGCATTATGTGGATCCTGGCTTTGTATCTCTTTTCAGTCTCAGGTGATCTATCCGTTCCTATTTCCTTCAATCTTCATTGTATTTTCACATAAATGTACAGTGGATAAGCTAAACATGTCCCCCATATGACCCTTAAAGGTTCATTTAGCTAATGAATTCAGCTTGCACTTTGGAAAACCTACAGGTATATTTGCTGAGGACAATGCTTCAATGGGAGAAGCAACTGCGCTCTGAAGCAAGTCTCCAGCGAGTGGAGTATGCTACAAAAACATACGATGCTAGCTCTGGTTTGCTAGGAGAGGTGGTGATTGTATGCTGGCCCAATGGTGAGATAATGCGCCTGAGCACCGGTAGCACTGCAGCTGATGCTGCTAGGAGAGCAGGCGTAGAGGGGAAGTTGGTTTCAGTAAATGGCCAGCTGGTAGTGCCCAATACAAAGTTAAGAGATGGTGATGTGGTTGAGATCAGAATGTAGATATGTTTCATTACGTTCAAATCTAGTACAGGCTGTACAGCATGTATATTCGTTGAAGTTCTATGCCCTTGCTCTGATTTGGTCACAGTAGTCACAGTAACTAGCTGCTGTGCAAAGTCCCGTTTTTGTTCATAGTTAGGCCTTGAAGTGGCTCTTCAAAATGTACATATTGTTAACTTCAAGGCTCAAATGAAAACACTCTTGAAGCAGGGCGAGCGCTATACCATTCAAAGAAAAATGAAAAAGAGAGGTTAAACTAAACACTTTTTAGTTCATTCGATCTGATTTCACAAAACTTCCTTTGTTTTTGTTGCGTAAAGAAAAACACGTAGGAAAAAGAAAATAGTTGTGATAAATTACAACAAATAACAAATTCATGTACTGTATAAAATATGCTTTGCAAAAGTAGTTTTTAAGTTTAAAATAATTTGATATTTTTGGAATAGTCTAGAAAAAGAGTTACTCACTTTTTAAACAATTTTGTGAACAAACAAAGCTTCAAACTTTGTTAAGCATTTTCAAAAACAATGTGAATGCAATTTTGACAGGGCAGTAATTAATGTTGTGCTGTTGGATGAAGTGATTCAACTAATTAGATGCTGTAATTTTTTCGCAAAGAATAAAACAGTAGTAATATATCATCCCTATTTTATCCTCACAAAATGAACTCTTTTTGATGTTGTAAATAAATGAATAGGTTAAGGGTCAAATGGAAAAAGATAGAACGATCGAGTGTAAATCAAATAATAACATATACATCGAGGGTGCAAATGCAAAGAAGTCTGTTTTTATCATTTTCATAACAAAAGGGCCTTTCCACAATTTGGATCAAAGTGAAATCATTGCTTAGGCTTCTTTCTTGGGAGATTTAAATTTGTAAGACACTTCAAAACTTATATAATTTTTTAAGACAAAACTGTAAAGAATGGGGTAGAAGGGACACTTTAAAACCCCCAAAGGTTTCTTATTTTCAAAAACATCCCTTTCCTCCACATCTCCCGTGATGTTTGAAACATCTTCGGGAGATGTTTCAACTATCCCGATGGATGTTTCAACTATCCCGGGAGATGTTTGAAACGTCCGGGGATGTTTGAAATATCCCGGAAGATGTTTGAAATATATCAGGGGTGTTTCAAACATCACAAGAGATGTTGGAGATATTCAAAATTATCCATAAGTTTTATTATTTTTAAAGGCAAAATACCTTAAACCACCCCTAAACTTGGCTCAGATTATTAGTATCCTCCTCGAACTATGCCTGGTCTTAATTACCCCCCTCAACTTGGCCTTTCGAGGGCCATTACTCCCCTAGACGCTGATGTGGCAAAAAAGTGTGGGTGCACTCTCCTGCCACGTGGATTTTTCTGTCTATGTGGCATTTTTTTGAAAAATAATCTTTTTTTATCTTTTTAAGAATATTACTTTTTTAGATAATTTTTTTCGAATAAAATTTATAATAAAACTTGGATATAACTACATTATTTAGGCTAAATACTTTTATTTGATCAAAAATAATAAAGTTTTAGTTAATCTTTTTTTTTTGAATTTGACCTGAAAATAAATATTTATACAATTGAAATAAATAGTCAAGTCATCTAAAAAGTTATAAAAATATATAGCTGAAATAAATAGTTATTGCATCAAAAGAAGAAATAAAAAGAGTGTACAATTGCACTTGTAATTTCTTGCAATTGTACACTCTTTTTATTTCTTCTTTTGATGCAATGACTATTTATGTAACCGTGTATTTTTACCTTTTCAGGTAAAATCTGTTAAAAAAATAGAACACCGTAATTTAGAGCTATATAAATATTATAGCCAAAATAATTAATTTCAAACTATGTATTTTTAATAACTTTTTATATGCCTTGACCATTTATTTCAATTGTATAAATCTTTATTTTCAGGTCAAATTTAAAATAAGATTAACTAAAACTTTATTATTGTTGGCCAAATAAAAATATTTAGCCTAAATAATGTAGTTATATCCAAATTTTATTATAAATTTTATTCGGAAAAAATTATCTAAAAAAGTAATATTCTTAAAAAGGTAAAAAAAATATTTTATTTTTCAAAAAAATGTCACATAGACAGAAAAATTCACGTGGCAGGCGAGTGCACCCATACTTTTTGTCATATCAGTGTCTAGGGAGGTAATGGCCCTCAAAAGGCCAAGTTAAGGGGGTTAATTAAGACCAGGCATAGTTTAGGGATGATACTAATAATTTGAGTCAAGTTTAGGGGTAATTTAAGGTATTTTGCCATTTTTAAATTGACCCCGTAACTACTTGTGTCCTAAATTCTTCCACGAGACTTAGAAGTCTTTTTTTTTACCTCTTTTTTCCTTCTTTCGGTTTTTCCTAAGTGAAACCAGAGGACAAACGAAAAGCAAAGAGAAGTTTGTGATCCTACTTCTCCTCTCCGCCTTCCTCGATGGTTCGCAAGCGATTTCATGATGTCAGAACAGGTGAAGAACCAATTATTTTGAGCTTATTTTGTCTGTTTTTCAAGTTTTTCCCCCTCTTATGATTCGACTATCATTTCTAGTATTTTGCCGCAACCCCATTTCTAAAAGCTCCAAAATCAGACTACAAGAAGTATTTACCTTGTATATTTTTCTGTAAAACAGGATATGTCATCCAATGAAATGGAATTTTAGTTTTAACAAAATGTTGAGTTTACTCTAATTGTATGAGGCATGCCAGTTGTTCGACGAAATGTTTGAACCGCATTTTCGTTTTGCAAATGACAAAAAAATGAGTAATTTTATACATATATGCAAATGCAACTGTTTTGGTAGGTGCTTTGGTGGCAAAATCATTCGATGCCCAGAAATATCTGAAGAGAGTTGGGTTAGGAAAAGAAGACTATCACTTCTGGAAGCAAGTTGGCAAGGCGTTGCTTTGTACTTACACTTTGTTCGGCGTAGCGTGGTTATGGAATGAGACTTCGCCACTTGGTTGGTGGACCCTGAAACCCAAGCCAAAGGAAGAAAAAGAACTAGCACACCTGTATGAACGCCGGAAATTTCCATATCCAGGTGATGAGAAGGCAATGGAGGAGTTTATTGCCAAAGGTGGGATGATTGGTACCACAATTGGTCCTAAGGGCGTTGTTGAATCCGATAAAGATTCCTATAATTTTCAGAAAGCATTGCAGGATAAGAAATTTGATCAAGAAGCCTTCAAGTTGTGGATGAGGATGAAGAATGAAGTTATTTCGGAGCTCCAAGAGAAAGGGTTTGATGTAGAGTGAGTGAATATAGTTACTTCTTGCAAGGGGAGCCTTGGTGCAACTAATAAAGTTACTGCCATGTGACAAGGAGGTCACGGGTTTGAGCCGTGAAAACAGCTTCTTGCAGAAATGCAGGGTAAGGCTGCGTACAATAGACCATTGTAGTCCGAACCCTTCCCCGGACCCCGTGCATAGCGAGAACTTAGTGGGCTGCCTTGCAATCAGATTATGTGTTGTATGCATTAGTTAGAAGTGTGATTTTGTGTCAAACTTATCAGACAGCTTTGAAGTTCTTGTTATCATATTTTTCTGCTTCTTTTTCGCGAGTTGATTTTTCCTACATTGGTATACTTATAGAATCATTGTTATGCTCTTTTATAATACTCTGGAGACGTAATAATGTCGTCAACGATGATGAATGAAGTTAGCCACTAAACCATGTAAATGGACGCTAAGCTTGTTCTTCTGATCAATGTCCATCCAATGTATGGGAAGAGACTAACAAAAAGGCATCAGCAGTTATCCAAAAGTTTTTATTCCTTGCAGGCTGAGACTGATCAGTGATTACGATACCAAAAGTGTGGAATGTGTGGGAATTTCATTTGCTTTCCCTCTAATAATTTTGCTATTTTAGCTTCCTGTTGTTTGGCATAAGCTATCATTTCTGATAACAGATGTTGTCAGAAAGATAGTGTTTTGCTGACCCATTGATGAGATATAATGCGCATGAGCACCACTAGCAGTGCGGCTGAGCTGCTAGGAGTTCTGGCGTAGAAGAGAAGTTGGTTTCAGTAAATGGCCAGCTGGTAGTGCCAAATACATAGTTAAAAGATGGTGATGTGGTTGGGATCAGAATGTAGATAGGTGTCAATCTAGTACTTACAGCATATATATACATTGCTGTTGTGGGAAGCGCTCGCAACAGATTGAAGTTCTATGCCCTTGCTCTGATTTGGTACTGTCGTCCAGTAACTAGCTGGCTGAGCAAAGTCCATTTGTTGTTCATAGCTAGGCCTTGAAGTGGCTCTTCAAACTTTACATATTGTTAGCTTTACGGCTCAAATGAAGAAACTCTTGCTTTAAACAAAACCATGGAGGAACAAGAAAAGATTTGTGTTAAATAACCAAAAAAAATCATATATAACATATGCTATATAGAAGTAGTTTTTCAAATAAGTTGATTTGTTCTTAAAGTTGAAAAAGGTTACTCTTGTTTTATTCAAAAGATTTTGCGACCAAAAGAAGTTTAAACTGTTGAAAAGAATGTGCAAAAGTTTTTACGTATATTTCCAAACAACGCATTTGATCTCGAAATAACAATCATAGGAGTATTTATTTTCGGTTATGCGAAAATAGAAATATTTTTCGGAGCTTTTGGTGGGAAATTCAAAAACTTTAACCTATTTGTGAACTTTATAACGTTTTTTATACACTACTTGTACGATGATGAAAAGCTTTTAAAAGTCGACGTAAAAGATTTTGTTGTGAATGAGGCTGAATTTCTTAATTTGGTAAAAATAGCACAACTTAGCAAATAAAAAAATTATGCCATTTAATGTTTCAAAAAAATAATTAGTTTATGTTGTTATAGAATGCATATTATTATCACTATTATAAATAAATCATGAATAAAATAATTATTCATATTTGAATATAGTTTCTTTTTTAAGACAAATTTGTAAGCTATAAAAACCTAATACGTAATTTTGATGTACAATGCATCCGATTCATCGAATGAATTTGTACAAATAGTGGAATGTGATATAATTTTCTCAGTGAATTCTGTCATATATGTTAGCAGTTTAGGGTGTTAAATGGGCCGGGTCAACCCATTTTCGTATCGGCCCGGACCGGTACATAGGGGGCGGGTGGGCTAGGTTACTGGGGTTTGGGGGTTAGTCCGTTCACTTTCATTCATCCGGTTAACCGGACCGGTCAAACCCGGTCAACCAAAATTCTTGTAGAACCGGTTAACCGGCCCGGCCCAGACCGGTTCGGACCGGTTTAAAGGCTAGATTCCAATTTATTTTTTTTAAGGTTGAAGAACGTTGGCAATGGTCAGTTGCCTTATGGCCGTTGCCCAACGTTATTATTGCACAAATAGCCCTTTTTGGGCAATTTTTNCTCCTTCTTCATTTATTCACTCATCTCTCATTTCTCAAACTCATATTCTTAATTCAAGTTAAATCATGTCACGTACTTCTAGAGTGCGCTCATATGTTTAGGAACACTTTGAAGTGGTAGAAGAAAATGAAGAAGTTCACAAAGTAAAGTGCAAGAAATGTGGTCTAGTTTTAAATCTTCATCTAAATTGGGTGGGCACATGCTGTTTAAGGAGGCATATGAAGAGTTGTCTTGAGCGTTCTCCAGAAATTCGTATTTAAGTTGATTTGAGACAATTTGTGTTATTTTAAAATTATTAGACGTATTTATGCTTAATTTTTTAGTTTGTTAGATTAATTTGAAGTATTATTATGCAATGAAAGTTTAGTTTTACTCTTTTTTTGTTAATTTACTTGTTGTTAAATGCAAACTTCAATTTGTAAGTTTGAAATTAAAAAAAAAAAAAAAGCACTTGCAAATTATAAGTGCAATTTTTTTTTCATCTTCATTGTATTCTTTATATTTTTACTTTATATTAATATAAATTACAATAGATATACAAAAAAAATTACACTAACCTGGCCCGTCCCAGCCCCTTGGACCCGTAACCCTTATGGTTTATTTTTTATCCGGATGGACCCGGACCCATTAAGCCCGGTAAGCCCTAACCCGTAACCAGCCCGGATTGAAACCCGGTCAGTTGCATTTTTTCCCAACCCGGACCGGCCCGCCCCACCCGTTTAACACCCTTAGTTTAAATTCATTTCCTAAGCTAGATGGAACTAAGGGTGTTAAACGGGTGGGCCGGGTTGGGAAAAATGAAACCGGCTGGTGTCACGACCCCAACCCCGGTCGTGATGGAGCCCAACACACTGCTAGGCAAGTCTGACCAATTAACAACCTCAAACCATTTCTTATATAGTTCATTATTAGCTAACACAGTTAAATTATCAAAATACCATATTAAAAGTCTGAAATCAGAGTTAAATATGCTGAATTTCAAATGATAATACTACTACTACATAGCCCATATAGATCCGGTGTCACAAGTTTGAGCCTCTAATACCAATTTATCACCCTAATACACATCTATCTAGGGAATGCGGATAAAACAAAAAGATAGAAAGGAGAGATCAGGGCTGCGGACGCCATGCAGCTACCTCGATGCTCCTGGATATGCGCTGCTCAACTGAAAATCCTCACTCAGTCTCAGATGCACCTGGATCTGCACGCAAGGTATAGGGAGTAATGTGAGTACTCCGACATAGTGAGTAATGAGCATAAATAATGACTGAGAATAAGAAATCACGGAGAAACATAGAGTAATCTATAATACGGCATTTTAAACAAGTAATATGAAAGTAATAAACCAATGGAAACGAAATATGGAAATGCTACAACAAATAAGCAGTTAAGTGACAGACATATAAAGAAAATCAACACATAGAACGGTACCCTATAGTACTCGCTGTGGCGTGCAGCCCGATCCATACATTTATCGTCGACGACACTCACTAGGGGTGTGCAGACTCCGGGAGGGGCCCCTTACGGCCCAAGCGCAATATCAAGCCATATCGTGGCATCAAATCTAGGCCCTCAGCCTCATATCAATATCAGTATAACACTGTTGCGGAGCATAGCCCGATCTCATAGTATCCTCACATCTGGCCCTTGGCCATACTCAGTCCAGAAATCATATAAGCCTCTCGGGCATTAGTAAAACAGTAGTTCTCAGCCCAAAACATCATTTAATATATTATTTTAATTTTAAAATCGAGTAAAAAGTAGCTGAGTTGTAAAACAATAGAAAACGGTACGATTGAGTTTAAGTAGTAATTCAAAACAGAGAGGAAATAGTGATAAAACTCCCCGGAGGGTTCAAATAGTTGGCACGAACCCAATTATGGCAATCAGTCCAAACAATAATGATAGCAAATAAGCTTCAATCAAAATGCGCGGTAAAAGCATCACTCGGAATGGACCAAGTCATAATCCTCACTAGTACACGACCCACGCTCATCATTAAGCGCGTCTCACCTCAATATAGCACTACGATGTGCAAATCGGGGGTTTCAAACCCTCAGGACATCATTTACATTCATTACTCACCTCGAACTGGCTAAAGCTCTAGCTCGCTATGACTTTGCCTCTCAAATCGGCCTCCTCGCGTGTCGAATATGATCAAAACCAGAGCGAATACGTCACAATATGCTAAGGGGACAAAGCCCAAGCGAAAACAATCGAAAAATATCAAAAATCCCAAAATTAGCAAAACCCGAACCCGGGGTCTACTTCTCGAAACTCAGAAATTTTTACATCAACGGGTTCCTTATCTCTCCACGAGTTCATACATATCAAAAGTTCTCAAATCCGACCTCAAATGGCCCTTCAAATCCCAATTTAAAATCTCAAAATCCTAAGCCCTAGTTCTTCCATTTTTAGCTAAATTTCCATGAATTTCTAGCTTAATTTCACAATATAATCACGTTTTTGGTTCATAGAACTTACCTCCAATCAATTCTCCTTGAATACCTCTTCAATTCCCCTCAAAGAGCTCTCAAAATACTCAACTATGGTGGAAAAATGACTAAAACTCGCGGAGGAAATGTTTAAAAACTTCATTGTTCAGTTCTGGAAATCCCTCCTTCGCGAACGCGGTCAAACCCACATGTTCGCGATGCACGATTTTCCTTAACCCACAAATAACCCTTCGTGAACGCGGCACCACACTTGCGAACGCCATGCTTTGGACCTTTGAACCTACATGAACGCGGTACCACTTACGCGAACGCGAAGAGCAATAGCTCCTGGACCTTCACGCGCCCATCTCCACTATGCGAACGCGACACCCATCATGCGGACGCGAAGCATAACCTCAAGGTCCCTCCGCGAACGCGAGCCATCAGATGCGAATGCGAAGCACAAACTCAGGGCCACCCAACTTTCTTCTACGCGATCTCGAGGGACCTCACGCGACCGCAAAGGCCAAAAATCCTCTGCAACTGCTGCTGCATTTTGTGCAATCTCCAAAGACTCAAAACTTCCCGTTAGCCATCCGAAACCACCCCAAGGCCCCCGGGACCTCAACCAAAAGTACCAACATATCCTAAAACCTCATTCAAACTTGTTCCAATCATCAAAACACCTCAAACAACACCAAATCCATCAATTCACATCGAATTCAAGCCTAGCTTTTCTAAAAACTTCTGAAACACACTTTTGA